GTATTTTAAAATAAAACTTTTTTTTTTCCAACAGTGCAGTGGCATCATAGATCATAGAAACCTCAAACTCCTGGGCTCAAGCCATCCTCCTGCCTCAGCCTCCCCAGTAGCTGGGACTACAGGTGCCCACCACCACACCCAGGTAGTTTTTCTATTATTAGTAGAGATGGGGTCTTGGTCCTCCTCAGGCTGGTCTTGAACTCCTGAGCTCAAGCAATCCTCCCACCTTGACCTCCCAGAGTGCTGGGGTTATAGGTGTGAGCCACTGCACCCAGGCCAAAATTAAACATTTAATTTTTAAGAAGAGACAGCCCTACATGAGGCCACTCTGAATGTGGTGGCCTTGGTCCAGACCTGTGGCAGAGAGCATGTAAGGATGGAGGCCCCAAGACAAAAATAGAAAAAGTAGTTGTGATGCTTTGTCCCTCCTTTTCCTAGAAATGAGTGTGCTCCCCGGGTAGAAGATGATGCAAGGAGGGACACCAGCCCTGGTCACTAGCGGTGCTGGGCCAGTTTCCAACCTCTCAAAGACTTAGCTTGCGTCAGTAAAACGGGTACAATGTTGAGCATTGTGCCTGGGGGCCCAGAAGAGGGGAGAGGGGAGGAAGGTGCATATGCCTGTGACACGTCATCCCGCCCTGAGGTCTCCCCCGTCCCCTTGCCTGCCCCTTGTCTCACTGCTCACCTCTGACTTCTCTCTTCCTTGCTTCCTGTGTATGGGAAGTTCGGAAGGAGCACTGTGGTGGGGTGATGGCGGTGAATACACAAAGGAGCCCCTTCCAGTCTCAGACTCCCAACCTCAGATTTATAATTTCCATATTGAATATTAATGCATCTTTTTACTAACGCTCAATCCATCTGAAGGTACATGTTCATGGTCAGTTTCCCTTACTACAGTGGTTCTCAATCTGTGGGTCGTGACCCACAGGAACTGTATTAAAGGGCCTCCGCATTAGGAAGGTTGAGAACCACTGTCTTACTTGAAAGTTTCTAGAAACGACCTATGTGGGAACCAGTGTATCTGGGGTGGAGTCTTGGCTCCTGGACTCAATAGCTGAGCAACCTAGATGGAACTCTTCCCCGGGCGTTGTCCCTGGGGCTGGGAATCCACTGGTGGAAGACCACTCCTGCCTACTGGAGCTTCCCTGCCATAGGGTGGTGACAGGCACTGACCCCAGCAACAGCACAATGCACCCTGCCCAGACTGTGAGAGGCTCACCTGGAGGGTGAGGCAGCCAGGAGGGGATCACTGCAGAGACAAGCCCCCAGGGGCACCTGCAGGACTGGCCCCAGAAGGCAAAAGACAAATATTCCCCAATTGCCTTTAGCTGCCTCCACCCCGTCCCCATGCACCCCACCCCAGCTACCCAGCAGGAGCTCCTGGCCTGAGCCAGTGCTCCCCAGCAGCCAGGCTCTCAGAACAAGTTATAACATGCCCAGTCTAGATAACAGATTTAGCTTCTAATCCTCCCAGTACAGTGTGCCCATACCAACCCACAGGGCCTTCCTTATCGTGTCCACGCCCATGCCCCCAGCTCCAAGAATGGCTCCTGGCACAGATGGGCCATCTCTGAGTGCCTGCTCTGTGCCAGGCTGAGTCTTGGGTCTCAGAAGACGTGGTGTAGGTTGGTGCAGCTCTGCAGTCAGACAAGAGAGGTCACCTCAGGGCAGGTCCCCCTCAGTGAAGGAAGACTCCAGGGAGAATTGTTCAAAGTGATGCCCCCCCGCCCAGGTCCAGGAAGACTGTGACCGTGAGGAACATGAGCATCAGAATTCCTCTCAGCTGGCGGGGGAGCCATGGGGCATTTGGAGGTTTCTCTGGAGGGACCCAGACACCTGTTGCTGGCCCCTCCAGGGCTGGGGCAATCCAGGATGCCAGGCCCTGCTAGTGATACTGGTCTAGTTCACTGCAGCCACCAGGGTCAGTGGACAGCCCTGCTGCAGGCCCAGCAGGATGTATGGCTTACTTGTGCCCATCCTCACCAGCCACCAAGTGCAGGTGACCAAGTTTCCAGGAGGACCTCGCCTCCTCATCTTTTTCACCCACTGGGAGTCCTACAGAGAGAAGGTGGATACTCCCAAGACAGGATCTGAGGGGGGAAGCAGCTGGAGTTAACAATTCTCTCTGCACAGACCTAGAATCTCACGCTGCTGAAACTGTACTTGACTGACTGGATGGTGCCATTGCCTGAAGTCAAGGCCAAGTTGGGCTGTGCTAATAGGAGCTTTCCAGGTTCTCCTGGATCATTCTCTCCTGTTCTCTGGTGGGCCCCAAATTTCATGGGGGCCACTGAGAGGCTGGCACTCACCCCGAGTAGGGTGTCCCGGGAGTGTTTGGTTCAGAGGAGCAAAGTCCTGGAGGGAATATTGGTGCCATTGTTGGCTAGCAAAGGGTCTGTGTCCCTACAGGACACAGAGTTGTCAGGGGGACAGGGAGTACAGTCAGACACAGGGACACCTGCTAATGGTGACAACACTTAACAATGGAATGGTTGCTGGAAGTTGAGGAAGGAAGTGGCTCCCACTAGGAGTTCTCAGGCCCAGCCTGGTCCCCTTGCCAATGAGTGACGCAGCAGGATTTCCTGTCCTGGCCAGGCCTGGACTGGGCGGTCCTGTGGTGAGTTCTGCTTGTGTGTGCCTGCTTGGCCCTCATGCTTCTACTCAGAGCACCCCAGATGGCCTTGGCAAAGCACCCACACCCGGTCTTTCTGTGCATTTTCACCGGGGTAATTTTTCTGCTTTGCTCCACAGGAACCATGCTGACACTCCAGGGCTTGGTGCTCTCTGGGCACAGTGGCTGGCTGTGGTGGATAGGATGCCACTGGGAGGGCCATCTGGAGACAGCTCCACACCTGAGCAGGAGGCCACGGGGGTGGGGACAAGGGCTTGAAGAGAGCAAGAAGCCAGGGGTGGGGGACGTAGCACAGTCCTTGGCCCAGCAGACCTGTGCATTCCGATAGCTTACGGCAGTTGGAGGTGGACTTCTGTCACTTACCACCGAGAGTCCTGACACAGATGGCACAGACCCATGCCGCTCTAGCATTTAATCCTTCCCTGAATTGGCACTCGAGGAGTAAAATGGTGAGGACGACACCTGGGCATATGCTCTGTGTCCTGACCTGTGCTCTATGCCCTCTGCTCTCTGACCTGGAGGATGTTATGATCCCAATGTACAGATGGACAAGTGAAGGAGGCTTGTAACAGAAGATCAAGCAGCTCAGGCACCCCAACAAGGACCCAGAAGAGTGTCCTCCCTCTCTGGCTCCGCCACAGGCTCCACACACACAATGCCCTGGCCCTTCCCTGCAACCCAGCCCAACCACAGTGGCCAGGCTGGGTGGGGGAGCCTGGATTGGCTGAAGTCTGGGGGCCTGCCATGAATTGAAGGGTGGCCAACCCCACAGGACCACAGGGCGGAGCATGGAGCCTGAGGCCTGGGGAGGGATGCCTGGTAGGAAGTTCTAGACACATCCTTCCTGAGAGTGAGAAGGATGGTGATCAGACAGAAAACAGATGCCCATTGCTGCCGGTGCCCAGATGACATGCCATTTGCCCTGGCCACATGGGAATCCCCTTGGCTGTGCCCTGTGTCTCCTTTCCTGCTGTAGGTCCTCTGTGCCCAGAGGGGCAGAGCTGGGCACCTTTTCTCTGCCCTTTGGCCTAAACTCTCCCAGAAGGTTTGTGGATTTGAATCCTCTCTTCAGAACCCTCAGGCTTTGTCAGCCTCCTGGTTCTGTATGGTTAAGGCACTGCACGGTGTCCTGGGCCTGGCACCGGATCATGGCACCAGGAAGTAGAGCCATCAAGTTCCTTCACCTCAGCCAATAGAGGCAACCTTTTGACTCTTGAGGTAAAACTCTTCAGCAGGGCCTTCTTCCCCTGTGAGCTCATAATCACACCTACTTTCCTGCCTTTGACTTGAGGCAGAGAACTGGGTTAAGGTGAAATGACCTGGGAGTGTGAAGTGCCCCTGCCGGGCAGAAAAGGCTGTGAGGAGAAAGACTCATCTGAGGCGGTGGGAGGGCTGACCGCTGTGCTGAGCGGGAAGAAACACATTTCTGAGTTTTGGTCCCGACTCAAACAACCCAACAGGAACAAGTGAGGGTCTGGATTGGACTGAAGAATGCCTTGTCACCATGGCTACCAGGAAACGGTCCCACTTCTATATAATAAGGGCTTTGGCAGGTGCCAGACCATTTGATACTCCCGCCTGGGGCCCAACGAGAGGGTGCCCTGCCTGCCCTTCCTCCTGCTGTTACACAGACATCAGAGGGTTCCCAACCTGACAAAAAATGAGCCTTTTCCTTTTTTGATCGGGGGCAGGGAAGGACGGAAGCTGGGCATCTTCACCCAGCAGCTACTGTTACCCACACTCAACAGGCGTGTCGCACACGTGCGCACAGGGGCTGCCTCAGTGTGCGGGATCACCGCATCCGTGCTGGGAGTGGCGGTGTTGGAACCGGCTCTCTTCGTTAGTCCTCAAGTTCTTACCTGGCAGACAGGTGTCCAACAATGAAGAAAAAGAATCCCCATACCCCTCACCCGCCCTCCCTGGACGCCCCCTCTGGTTCCATCCTCGCTGCAGCGCTCGCAGGCTTGGAGACAGCAGATTTTTGAGTGGAACCAGGGAACCCCAGCGTCTGCAGGGCCCCCCTCAAGCTAGTCCTGCGCTGGACCAGCCTCACCCCCGAATTCGGGACCTGGGGTTCTGGGCTGGGGCGGGTCCACAGCTCCTGCCAGACCCAGGTGGCGGGGCGAGCGGTGATCGTTCTGGGCCCTGGCGCCCCCGAAACCCGCTGTTCGGGAAGCTGGGACAGCCATCAGGCGCAGGAACATAACAAGAGCACGCGCACCTGCCGACCGCCCCGCCCACTCATCGCCGGCCAATCGCGCGCGCGGGGCGGGGCCGGAGCCCAGCTAGAGCTGGAGCCGGAGCCGGAGCCGGAGCCTGAGTCGAGCCCAGACCGAGTGAGCAGTGAGCGTGGCCTGGGCCCCGCAGCCTCCGCCCCGCAGCCCGCAGCCCGCAGCCCGCAGCCCGAAGCCCGCAGCCCGGTCCCTGCCGCCCCCGGGGCATGGCCTGTCTGATGGCCGCTTTCTCGGTCGGCACCGCCATGGTGAGTGAGTGCACCCTTCGCCCGCCGGCTTGTTTTAATTTTCGAGTAGAGCAGGAAACACACAAAGACCCCCACGATTGCCCTGACATCCTCTCCCTAGGAGCGCGTCCTCTGGGCGCTGACCCAGGGCACCCGGGGAGAGGTACTGGCTCCGGTCGCGCCCCGCCCCGGCTACCTGGAGCCTTGGGATGCTCTTTACACTGGCCGGGGACGCCCAGAAGGTGGAGGGGCCAGTTGTGGGGCTGGAGGCAGCCCCACAAGTGGACAGATGGCCTTGACCTCGTCCTCCTACGGGCGATGGATGCAGGGCCCTGGGTACACAGAGCGCGCTGGGGAGGGGCTGCAGCCTGGGCCTGAGGGAAGAGAGGGAATCCTTCTGCCAGCATGTCAGGCCTGGGGTTTGGGGAGCGGGGATGTATCCCACGATCCCCGGAGCACTGGGCACTGTCTTCCAGAACAAAAGAGGCAATTGCCCCCAGAGATCTAAAGCCTAAGCCTGCACTCCCCGGAACAGCCCACGCGGGACCTACCCGGGGAGGGGGCGGTGAAGCGCCCAGGAGGCCGCAGGGCGAGCCTGGGTACCCGCGGCCGCCCCTCTGCGCGCTGGCGAGACCCGGGTAGAGACAGAGAAGTGCATCTCGCTTCTCCCAAGGGAATCAGCTCCAGGGGGGGATGACCATGCCTTAGTGCTGGCGAACTCATCGCTAGACACAGTTACCGCAAGTGCTATTTCCAGGGGTGGTCAAGAATCTCCCTTTGCTGTTTGTCTCACATTAGGAAAAAAACAACCGAACTAACCTCCTGGCCACCCACCCACCTCCTTCATCCCTGGGCCCATTTCTGCTTATCGCATCATCCCCTGGAGGGCACCAACATTGCAGCTTGGTGTCTCAAGTACAAGCAGAAAGTCTTCAATGTTCCAGCCCCTAGCATCCTTGCGTGGTCTCCCCGTGTAGCTACTATCCTGCTAGTTACTTCCCGGAGGAGGCTGCGAGCCCACAGTGCCGAGCACGCACCGGGTTTCACCCTCGCTCCTCCCCTTTATTTCATTTTTAGCATCCTGTTTGAAGTCAGCAGGGCTCGGCAGGATTTGACCGACAGTTACCTCTTGCCGTGAGCTCAAGAAAAAAAAAGTCGCCGGGTTTCTGCGCATGCTCTGTTCTGACAACCGCATCCTATGATTCCAAACAGGTTACTGTAGCACATACCGCGCTTCGCCAGCTCATTACATAACGATTTTGTGTAAAGCGATAGAATGGGGCCAAGACACGGCAAGGAGGGTGGTAGAGGAGGGGAGAGCCAGTGCGGGGCTGGGGGCCCTCAGACGGCCCCCACCTCCTCGTGGCTCCGCTTGGCTTCTAACTCGCAGGAGGCAGCACACACCCCCCTCTCAGCACCCTGCTTCCACCTGGTCCAGGGTGTGGGTAACACTTGGGAATTCTTCCTTTGCTCTTGTTCATCTACTTGGAACTCCTTAATTAAGTTGACAGTGGAAAATTAAAGGGATTACTGATGTTAGTTGAAGGTACAGAAAGTTTCAGACTTTTAAGATGCCAGTAACTCTCAAAGCCCTTTTAGAGCTGCAAAGGTGGCTTGAACATGTGGGAAAATAATACGAATGTTGTAAGGTTTAGTATTTTACACCAAGATTGGTTTAATGTTATATTACGGTCTGACGCAGCCCCGAGCTCAGGTGTAAGTACCGTTCTCACGCGGAGATGCTAATGGCTCGGCTCATTATTTTTTAGGGGAACATTGTTTTGTTTAAAAATAATTTCTCCCTGAAAACCTGCTACATTTTTTTATTTAAAAATTTCGGTACATCTATGGCTATCCCACCCTGAAAGTACTGATCTTTTCTAATCTCAGAGGCCAAGCAGGGTTGGCCCTGGTTAGTACTTGAATGGAAGACCACCTGGGAATTCTGGGGGCTGTAGGCTTAAAAGAAAAACCAATTAAAAATAAAAACAAATTCGGTCTGAGGTATAAACAAAGAGCCCTTGAGAGATGCCCAGGATCCTGACTTTTGCTTTCCATGCTCTCCTTGCTCAGGGCCAGCCTGGTGTGGACGTTGTGAGCCATGAGTGGGAGAAGGTGCCTGGAGCATCAGCGCAACACCAAGGGAACAGGCTGGACCCCCTCCCCGCCCCTCAGCTCATGGGCTTGGGAGGGACAGAAGTGTTTCTGGTGGGAGGGTGGTATCTGGAGTGTTTTGTCAATCTGTCCTCTAGTTTAGTTAAAGGTATGATGTTTTGGTTTATGGGAGGTTGCCTGGAAGATTCTTGGTCAGTACACTTCTTTCTTCTCATGTGTCCAGGGCACCAAGGAGGCCACTTGGTACCTAGGTGGGTTCCAAGGCTGGCAGCAATGAACCCAAGAGAAATCTGGGCACCATCTAGGGCACGTCCCACTCCCTCCCCTACCCATAATGCTGGGAGAATTTCTACCTCTGTCTCTGCCTCCCTGGTGGAAATTGAGTGAATGAATCTCACAAGGGCCTAGGGGTCACTTACTGTCTGTGAAAGGCCCTCCCCAGGTAAACAGGCATCTGTATATGCCCAGCATTCAAACTGAAATCACAGTCGCTCTGCTCAGCACCCAGAAGATATTCTCATGAACGGCGGCCAGGAACAATCCAAATAGGCTCCCCTCAGCATTCAGCATCCATGAATGGACTCACTATTATTTGCAGTTTATTATGCAGCACAAATTGTGCATGTGAGGGGGTCAAAGGCAGTGCTTCAGCAGGAGAGAAGCTGAACAGTGAGAGGAGAAGATGGAGGGGGAAGATGTGTTTGTTTTATTTTTAATGAGCTCGGGAGGCTAAGGAAGAGTGAGCTGTAACCTACATTGCCGGCAGCTCTCATCGGAGGGTGTGTTTCCAGAGAGCTGGTCTATTTCTGAGGGACAGACCATTGCCTTGCCGGCCAATGGTTTCCATGATTTGCGTAACTGGGTGAGGCCCTGGGACCCTGTGAAGGAGAGGTGGGTGACTGTGCGTTGCTGTGGTTTATCTGGGGGTGGTTTTCTCAGTTTTCTTGGTTTTCCTATAATGGACAAGGTCTGGGATGACCCAGTGGGACCTACAATTTGCCTTTCAAAAGCTCAGCTATGTTTGAGGGTTGTTAAAAATGCTGTTGGGAGAATGCAGCTCAGACTCAGAACGCCCGGAACTGGACCCCACTCCATGACAGGGGGGTCTTGAGCAAGTCAAGCATTCGATCCCTCCTCTCAAATGGAGTAGGCAGCCCCTCTCCCACCTTAGTGTTTTGGAGATAATAGGCATACTCCGTGCAGGCTGGGGTCTAAGAGGCCCGTTGTAATCGCTGAGTCAATAGTCACTGTTGTTTCTAATCAGTCACCCAGCACAGGAGGCACGATGGTTTAATACGGTAAATTGCAAGAGCTTGACTTTGGCTTCCCTCTGTCTCATTCCTGAATAGCTTTGTCCCCCTGGCCTGTCCCCTTGCCTTCCTCCCTGAGTTGGCTCCCAGTGCTGCAGGAGGAGGCTCTACAGCTCTGCTGATCTGGTCCTGTCTCTCCGTCCACGGCGCCCCAGGGACCACTAGACAAAGTGCAAAATGCTTAACAGAGTTTGCTAGCACCTCACCGTGGGGACCTGTTTGTCCTTCTGGTCTTTCTCCACAGTCCCCTGTCCCCTGCCCCCCAATCCATCCTCCAGCCCCTGAGTTTCTTACAGGTCCCGATGCTCCACTCTCTCTTGCTGTGGAGAACTTGCACAGGCTTGCGGCCAGCACCCCTCATCTCACCTCCCTGGACTCAGCTGAGATTTCATTGGTGTGGAAACTCTTCCCTGAGCACTCCCAGCCCAGGCTCTGCATTGCACTGGGTGCTTCTCCAGAGTCTCTGTGCCACTCCAGCCTCACCTCTTAATTGCCTGCTTTCTCGCCTGGGCCAGATCTTGCATTTGAGCTTGCTGGGCCAGAGGCCACATCTGTCCGGCTGACTGCTGACCCAGATGCTGACCCAGACTCCACTGGTGCTCAGTGTGTCCAGAAAATGAAGGAGGGAGTGGCTGAGTGAGTAGACAGGATCAGGGTCTAGTTGGCAAATTCAGACATAGGTCTGACACCTGCATGTGCCACCACTGGTGGAGGGATGGTGTGGTGGCATCCACCCTGAGGCTGACACCTGTGGTACGTGATAGGGAGAGGGGATGGGTGGCCTGTGACACCTAGTATCTTTGGGGTGGAGGTAGAGAGGCCCACACAGGAGGGGAGTTGCTGGATCACGCCCATCCCTTGCCCCCAACTGAACTCACAGCCACTGGGGTCCCAGGTCAGAGCCCAAGTCTGCTAGTGGGTTGTGGGTTTGCACCCCAGACACTCTGCCTTTCTACCAGGCAGGGTGACAATGGACTCTGGGGATCAAGCCTAGAGCTCCTTGTCTTATTTCTCTGCTCCTTTGACAACTCCCCACGTCCAGCATGATTTGGTGCTTTCCAAGTGTCCTTCAGAGTCAAAGCAGCAGAGTGGACCCCCAGGGCCTCCGGGGGCTGCTCTTGTCCCCATGTTGGGACCCCTAGAGGGTAGCGGGACACTCTGTCCCCCAATCGGCCTGCCCTTGGCCTCCACCAGCTGCGGAGGAAGACTAGTCCCTTGAGGGTCCTCAGGGCTCATCCTCACTCTGGGCTATGAGTCCCTTCATCAGACAAACACAGATCGTCCCTGCCTGTGCTTGGGAATGTACCAGCCACCCAAGTTGGCACTGGAAACTTGTCACACGCCTAGTGCCAGCAGCAAACCAAGCTTAATTTTGTCAGAGCTTTACTCTGCACCTTTATTTTTATCCACACAATATTATGGTCCTCGAGCTAAGTTTTCATTTGGTTAAGGTTTTCAGAAGTAGGAGATGTCTACTCCTGGGATGGAGTTGTGTCTGTGTGGAGTGTCTGTCTGTGTAGTGTTATGATGTATGAGAGTGTGTGTGGTATATTGTCTGTGTGTGGTGTGTGTGGCATGTGTGTATATGGTGTGGTGCATGGTGTGTGTGTGGTGTGGGTGGCGTGTGTGCATAATGTGGTGTGTGCTCGGTGTGGTGTGAGTGTGTGTCTGCATACCTTTTTCTGAACGGCAAAGCTCCACCATCTGCATACCACCACCCGAATCCCTGTAAGCACCTCTCTCAGCCCCATATTTGTGCTTTAACTATTGGAAATCTTCAGCATAGGGACAGACTCTTGTCCCTGTAAATACTATGCTGGAACAATACCAGCTCTTCCACCACCCAGAGCTGTCCCCTCAAGCCACATTCTACTGGGTGGGGGGACCACTTGAGTTGCTGGGACTTGTGGGGGTTTTTATGGACAGTCCAGTCTCTTTGGGTTTTGTTTAAGAAATAATGACGAATAGCAAGTGACACTAAAAAAAATAGGTGACAAACCTGTGGAGAAAGAATAGTGCGTAGTACAATGAGATTCCTCTTTGGAACAAGAAACAACACACAGTGTCTCCCCAGTCCTATGGTGGTGGGAATGGCCCAAGTCTCAGAGATGGCTAGCTCTGGGCTCGCTGACCAGGCAGGCAGCTGTCAGCCGTACGGCGGAGCATCACAGAAGGCCCATCACAGAATGGCACTGCGGGATGTTTCTCTAGACTTGGAGACAGCTAGAAAAAGTACAACATATTTGGTCCCCCAGAGGTCCCTCTTGTTTTGGAGGTACCTGAAGCTTATTGATTTGTGCGGGGTTGCCAAGCCATTAGAGAAGGATATTCCTTTCTTTGCATAAATACTTTTGGTTCTTGGCACATCTGTTACAGTGCACTTGACTCCCAGTGGAAGCTTTAAAAGCCAGTGCTAGCTACAGAATATCAGGTGCTCTCACCATGCGCTGAAATGGGCACCTGCCTGGGGTTTCCATGACTCCAATTCTGGGATCACTTCCTCTGCTCACTTGATTTTGGGACTCACAGCAGTGTCTCAATTTTCTTGTCTTTATAATAGAGGAAAAATATTAACCTCTCCAACTTGTCAGTGCTATTATGAAGATATAGGAAGATAACACAGTTATAAAATTGGGAAATTTTAAAAGTGAAATACGAAGGCCAACCCCCACAAAACTCAGCAGCTCAAGGAATATTACTGCTCTGGAGAAATTTTTATGAGATTGCACAAGGCAGGCATTAAAATAGCTCATGGTGAACAGAACTTTCTCAGTTATGTATTTCTCAGGCGCCTCCTCTGTCTTGATTGTTGTTTTATGAGTGGACTGTAATAGATAACTTTTTATGGTGGCCAGTGTTTTCTTCTTTGAGGCAAGTGATTCATTGACTATAGTTGATGATTAGATCTTATGATTCCAAAGTGAGACTTGCAGATCAGTGTAACATTTTATTTTAAGCATTTTTAATGGAGAAAAAGTGATGGTTCAAGAAGACACATTCCTCTAGGAAAGCACTTTTCTTTGGAACCAAAGAAGGGACTCCTGCGTTTGGAGAAGTGTCCCTCCTAATCATCAGTGGCCCTAATGGCATGTGCCGCCTCCTTTTCTTGATGTGGTATATAACGGGACTTGTTGCTCTCTCCCCATTTTTCTAGAATGCCAGCAATTACTCTGCAGCAATGACAGAGCCCAAGTCGGTGTGTGTGTCAGTGGATGAGGTGGTGTCCAGCAACATGGACTCTGCTGAGACGGACCTGCTGAACGGGCATCTGAAAAAAGTGGACAACAGCCTCACGGAGGCCCAGCGCTTTTCCTCCTTGCCCCGGAGGGCAGCTGTGAACATTGAATTCAAGGACCTTTCCTACTCTGTCCCCGAAGGACCCTGGTGGAGGAAGAAAGGTAGGGACGCAGGCTGCTTTGTCCATAAGGCTGGCAGAGGGACACTGAGTTCAGGCGCATCTGAGTCTGGAAGTGGCAGACGGAGCTGCTCTTCCCAGCGCCGCCACTGCCCTGCCAGCTTATTGAATTGATTCGTGTCTAATTCTTCTCACCTATAAAATGAAGAGGTTGGGCTGGGTGATCTCAAAGTTCATAGTGGCTCTAAAATTCTGTGATATTTCAGAGAATTTCACTAAGACCGCCCAGTGTCAGAGTGTACCTGTGTTGGGGGTATGTTCAGAGCATCTGCTTCTGTGGATGTGTTTATGTGAGTCTCTCAAGGTGGAACCATCTCTCAATTGTCCGGCAAAAAATGAGAGACAGGCGCTACCTCCCAAGTTTGAAGAGGTAAAAAGCAGCCAGTGACCTTGACTGACCTCTCTGGACACCCATCATTTTCTTATAGGGACCTTGAAAGGACTGTCTTATGGGTGGTGTGGGTTGGCTAGAAAGAAAAAGAAACTGTTGTAAAATGACCCATATAAATATAAACGGGAGAAAAACAGAGTAGAACTCAGGAGGTCTCTGGAAAGCCACAGGGTGCAGGAGTTTGCTGCTGGCTTGCTGCGTGTTACAGAGAATTAATGGCTGAGAACTTGAGTTTCTCAGCAACCGTTCCTAGCCCTGGATTTTCATGTGTGTAGAGTGAATGCCTCACTGGGTGGCTTGTCCTTCTTCAGCCTGAGCTGTGTCTTCTCGTGGTTCTCCTTGCTCTTATCCTCTGAGCATGGATGGGTCCGTCTTTCAGGTGGGTGGGAGAGCAGGTGGGGAGGGGATATATATGAGGACACCAAGAAATGATGCTCCTGAGTTTCTACTAAATCATGAAAGCAATTGAAAAATCTGTGAGGACTTTGGAACAATGAAAATCCTCAGGTACTGCTGGAATATTATGAATTTGGAGGAATTGCATCTTAAATCTAGATTCACTCTCTCTGCCTTCTTGAAGAAGAAAACTCATTGTTTCAAGTGTTATATTTGTATTTATTTTCCCTATTATCTTTATTTTGTTTTTCTACCCTCTTGAAGCTAAGCCGTTGAGAGCCTTGGTGTAGGCAGTCTGGACTTTGCTGTAATCACAGTTAGAACCTTGATGGACTGGTCTCTGGGACCTGTGAGTGCAGTCAGGTGCTGGAAGATTTTCTGTCTGTGCTAGTACAACCAGGGACACGTCCGGGACCTCCTCAGTGGCCAGCTGCCCAGCACTGTGATGTGATACTTGGATTTGCAGGGTATGCGGCCTGTTTTGTTCAGAAAGCTATTCTGTGGCAGGCTCAGCTTTGGGACCATTCCTTGCAGCTTGTTGAAATTTCAGTACAGGGTTATATTTTTTTTCCTTCTCAACTTGAAGAAAACATTTCACAGAAAAATTCACCAAGAAACCAGAAAGCCTTCTTATGTTTTGGCCGCATGATCTATGTAGACAAACCATGGCAAAACCGTGAGCAAATGGAGTGGTTTCTCCCCATCTGTTACGCACAGCCTTGGGAACGCTGTCATGATGGTTGAAAAAGCCAGGGTGTGAGTGAAGGTGTGATGCAATGCAGACATTTAAAACCTGGGTTTGAAATGTGTTGAGATAAAGCCAGGCACACACAGGTGCACAGTCACCAGGTATGTCACTCATCAACCCTTTATTCTTTGAGTGTTGAATGGTCTCATTCATTATCAGAGTTAGGCAACAGCCGATGCCCTCTGACCGAGTGGGGAGCTAGAACTGTCCAGCTCAGCCCTGGTGGCTGCTAGAAAGACGCTTGCCCTGAAGTAACCTGTGGGCCCCAATGGGGGAGGAGGAGTCAGAAATGGGCCCCGAGGGACCTGCCCATGAGTCAGAGATGAGCAGGGACAAGTTGACAGACAGGGTGGGTCTGATGTCCCACTTGCTGGTTTCTCACCTGGTGCCAAGGGCAGTTTAGCAGCCAGGCTTCCTCCTCAGCTGTCCTCTGCAGTGGCAGCACTCATGTCTGTCTCCCCTCCCCCAGCTCTTCTTGCCCCTGTGCCCCATCCTGTCCTTGGTTCTGGTGTCTGCAATTCAGGATCTAGGGTGGGAAACACTTCCTGGGGTGCAGTGCCTTCCTCCCGATCCCACAGGTGCTCACCACCTTCTTTACCTCTGCTCCAGCTGGTCCCCCGGGGGTTCTTCCCTCCCCGTCTTTGTCCCTTTGATTGTCAGGGGTCCTCCCAGGCCCTAGTTGTGATTAGACTAAGCCTAGAAGGGCAGACCAGCCTCCGCACTTCTGTCTCCCACCGGGGCCGATTTCCTACTTGGTGTCATCTCTGGTGACTTTGAGGGTGACCTTTGGGGCAGGTGCTACTTCTCTTACTGCTTTTGCCATAATAGTTTTTCTGTATTTATCAAGTTCTTTCCAAAGTTTTAAAATTCAACTTGATCAACTTGAGCTAAATGTAATGATCACTCTGGGGTTGGGTGTCAGGGTGTCACTTAGAGGGAGGCACCTCCAAACGTCAGTAAGAGGCCGGGAGTTCTGAGAGCACCTGGCCAGCTGTTCCATAGCTTGGTGAAGGAGACAGTAGCCCAGGCACAGATGAGGTTTGCTCAAGGTCAGAGCCAAAGCTGGGACCCAGCTGCTCTGCCTCCCAGCCCACGTTCCTCTCCATTACAAAGGCATTAGACCACTCCAGTAGATTCCAGCAAAGCCATATTCTCACACCATTTGTTCCAGAACACAGTGCTGCAACCCAAACTTCACTCAGAACGGTAGTGAGGGTGGGCCCTGGGAGCAGAATAACATTATAAGTCCCTGCATAATTATTTTAGGAAGATGGGGGAAAGAGCACCTCACAATCCTTAGGAGAAAGGTGACGAGTAAATCAAGTGGTATTTTGAAGGAGACACCAGGCACTGATTCTGTACAATTTTTAAACTTGATGATTTCCAAGTATTGAGTGATGTCACTTAACAAAACATCTTGTATTTTCAATTGTAGTTACATTTTCACCATATGATTAATGATGTCTTTGGAGGAAAAACTAGATCATATAATAGATTCCTAGTAGAGAACATAATTGTGAAAGGATCTATTCTCAGGAGGGAAACATACACCCCAAGGAGGAGAATTTCTCCAGCTTCTAAAGCAGTAATTACTCTCCCTCAAGGAATTCACTCACGTAGCTTGAGTTGATGGGACAAGTGTTTGGAGCAATATCGACTTTGGTGCCGTCACACAAACTGTTGAGGGACATATTAGAACAATCTGGTTCAGTTCTTCTTCCTCACTCCTTGGTACGACTCTTTGGAAAGCACTTTTTGCTTCCTGCAGACAGTGGGTCAGTGACATCTAGGATCCTTATTACGAAGAATGTCCACATAATACAATTCTTTAGGTGAAGATGATGGTGGTGAGGTTTTAGGCGTCAATTGTTTTCAGAGCCCATTTTTAGTAGGATGTGATTGGCCACAGTTGACAGAATACTTGGGACACCTGATGTGCTGCCCCTCCCCCAGGACGCTGGCTCGTGTCCATGAGTAGGTGACTGAGTGGGAGCTGCTCTTCAGTCTACTTGGCTCCCAAGGCCAGTTTAGGAGGGATTCTACCTGTTCCCCTTGTGGAAAACTGTGACATGAGGTTCAGAGTCATACCCAAGGCCATAGCAGTAGGAAAGATGGGACTTGGCACCGGTCTGTAGGATCTTAGGCCCGCAAGGAACCTAGAGAGTGCTTAGCCCTGAGGGCCATGGCACTGGGCCACCATGCCAGGGCTAAACCTTGCTTTGACTGTTTATGCGACTTGTAATTGGCCTGCTTGGATGTCAGTTACATGTACAGCTGCAGAAAGGGATTCTGAGTTCTTCTGGAAAGACTAACTCTTCTACCTCCTACCAGGGAGGGGAGGTGTGGTGAGATGATTCTTAGAAATTAAATATACCCGCTCGGCGCCTGTGGCTCAAGTGGCTAAGGCGCCAGCCACATACACCTAAGGTGGCGGTTTCGAATCCCCAGCCTGGGCCTGCCAAACAACAATAATGGCTGCAACCAAAAAATGGCCAGGCATTGTGGCAGGCGCCTGTAGTCCCAGCTACTTGGGAGGCTGAGGCAGGAGACTTGCTGGAGCCCAGGAGTTGGAGGTTGCTGTGAGCTGTGATGCCATAGCACTCTACCCAGGGGGATAGCTTGAGGTTCTGTCTCAAAAAAAAAGAAATTAAATATACCTCCCAAGATCACCTTGCAATGTAGTTCAGCTTGAGAATGAATGTAATCATATCTGGGGCTTCAGAGCTTTTTCTTTATTGTTCTTCAGCCGTCCACTGCCTCGGCATGTGAATACTGACAGAGCTCCATCTCCCGCTCTGCAGCCCAACTCTCCAGCCTCATCCTTGCCAAAACCCAAGGAGGAGTTAAACATTCCGGGCAGCTCCAAGTCAGATTATCTGCATTGGTTTGCTTCTAAGCTATGAAAATGCTTTTGAACACTCTTCTCAAATTAAACTTTGCTTTCTCTTAATTTCCATAGCTGCTCCGCGAGGCCTGTAATGACAGGTTGGCAATGCCATTAATAAATCCTTTTAGGAATTCCAGCAAGAGAAGACTGGATTCTGACCAAGTGCTGGTGACTCGATCCAGCCCACTAGAACTGGGATTGGAGGTGGCCCAGTTAAAGGCAGACCAAGAGACAGCTGAGGTTTTCAGAGCAACAGGTTTCTCTCTCGGGTGTGAAGGGGATTTGCCGCCCCCTAGCCTGAGTGAATGGCTGTTGTGCTCCTTGGGAACCAGCATGCTAAGGTGGACTTTCTTTGGGGGCCAAGGGATATTGCTTTTAATACTTCGTCTTTGCCTTTCTTTGAGGTTGTAGCCAGTCCTTCGGTACAGTGAGGTGGGCCCAGTCTGTTTGCCAGGATTCCCTGCTTGAGACTAGGGCATTTACAAAGAGGACCCAAGTGGCTCTAAGCTGCCTTGGTGAACTCAGAGCACTGGAGAGTCCTTCCCTTTCTCACTGGGGCCA